TTTTAAATTTTGAAATTTTTGTAATCTGAAAAGAATTACCATTGCTAAATTTCTGATTTCTCCTTTTTCTAAATCTGCAATGACTTGAAATAATGGTAATATTGCTATATTAATAATATTACTATTAATGCTAATATTACCATCGCTGTTATCACTGTCACTATTGCTGATATTTAATACTTTCAAGTTTTCTTCAATTAACTTATCCATAATTTTTAATATCAAATTTTGATCATCAAATGATTGAGTGATCAATAATAAATAAGATAAAGATGCCCATACAAGATTGAAGTTTGACGTTGGAATAATATTACGGATTTTTCCATCATCTAATATTAATAGTTGATAAATTAGAGGAATATAATTGTTTGTTGTTGTTATTGATAGATTGTCATCGTTGTTGATTAAATCACAAGTGATATTAAACATTTGATTAAGCAAATTTGATGAACATTCATTAAGAATAGAATTGGTTTTATTATTGATATTTATTATTTGCACAAGTGATTGTATGATAATATAAGTATTCACATTATCATCAATAAATGATAAACTTTGTGTTATTGAAAGTAAATAATTCATCAAAGTCTTGATAAATATCTCATAAATTCCATATTTATACATTAATCGAATCAGCAGTTGTATAATAGTTAAAGACCGGTAGTTTTTATTATGTTGTTGTAAGCCATTTAATATAACAAAATCTAGGAAAGGTTTCATCATTTCAAGACAGTTTATTAAATAATGTAATGATCTCTTTTCTTTCATGATATGTTGTGATGCTGAAAACTTTACTCTTGACAAATCAAAAATCCTTTCTAAATGTGAAATCAATATTAACCATGTTTCTTCTAGTTTAATAATATCAGAATTAGCAACAATAATAAAAGGGTGATCTATTTTCCCTTCATAATTTCTTGCCCTACTATTGAACGGTGATTTATATTCTACTGAATCAATATTTCCATCTAAATGATTAATTAGAAGATCCGTTATTCCTGTAATTATAACGTTATGAAATTTTGAGTCGCCTGAAGATGTTGATAACAAATCTGTCAAATGATTCAAAGTTTCTTCCCATGGTATAGCACCTATAGTTACAAGAGAGATTAGTTTATTGACTGCATGCAAAGAAACTACCCCAGTATGTTCTGGTGTTATAAATGACCACAGTTGTTCCAGAAAAGAAGGTTCAATTCCACCATTAATGCGCGTTTTAGCATTTCCTGGATTTTTTGCAATAGAATTTGCAATCTTTTGAATTGATTGCGTTTGAACAGAGCGATGTTTTAGTATATCCATATATATATTATATAAAATGGGGCATGCTGCAACAAAACCAGACAAAGTGAACATTGGTATTACCAAGGATTTCAGGGATCAAAATTTAGTCATTATTATCACAATTGCATTGTAATTATAATTTAACAGTCCAATTTGTTACCTTAAGTGATATATAGAACCACTCCTATATAAAATAGTTAATATGAAACTCATTTATATCACCTAAGAATTATAACACCATTAGAAGTATTCTAAAAAAAGAACAAGGTGAAAAAATTGCTCAAAATAAATGATACTCAGACACTAGAAACTTATCTAAGAAAAAAAAAAGATTACTTATGAAATTTACCAAGAAAGAAAAATAAATGAAAGCGTCATGATGATGCATTATTACCTAATAAAAAGCAAAAATCCTTAAAAGGAAAATAACTACCGTTTTCTTTGATAATTGGAATGAATTTCAATTTATACAGAGGGAAATTACTTTCTTATTTTCAATCAAGATCATCTTTTAGTCTCTTTGACTTCAATTTGAGCAATATGACCATTCTTTGATCTTTTAATTTCCTGTTTTCTTCTTCTATATGATTAATTTTCTCTTCTAAACTTTTTATCTTATCTAATAACTCCTGTTTTTGCTTTTTACTTCACTCTTCTGATTTTTCCTGAAATTTGGCTACTTCTTCTCTTTCAATTTCTAAGGCTTCTTTAGTCTCATTTAGTTGTTCTTGTAGGGAGCTTATTTGTCTTTCATAAAAAGTAGACTGACTTATTTCTTCATGAGGTAAGAGAGGAAGTTCCTTCTCTTCTAAATCT